CCACATAGTCGACCGCGGTTCATGTCCCGGACCCGGTGGCTTAAAACTCACACTGGGCGCATGTGCGTGTGTGCCCAAGATCCCGAGGGGAGAATGGAGGAGAAGGGATTGCGGCGTGACCATCCCCCCTGGGGGGTGATTTCTCGCTTTCTGTCTCTATGTCTCTCTCTGTCTGTCTGGCGAGCACACGCGCCCTACAATGAAAATCTCTCCAAAAACAAAAAAGTAAAAAGTTAAAATTTAAAAAATTATGAGACAGAAACCAAGACAGAGGTAGAAACAGACAAAGACAGTTACAGAGATGTGAGGTCTGGAAGGGGTCTTCCTACCAGGTGAGATTTGTTTGCTGGAAGCCAAATATCACTGGGAAGTCTTGATTTATGTTCTCCCAAAATGGCTAGATTTCAGAATCCATGTGGCTGTGTCTTGAAGAAAGTTTCTTCTCTTTGACTCTCCTGGGTTTGGAAAGGGAGAGGGAATTATTTTAACCATTACAAGTGGTAGGAGGGCAGAAAGCGCAGAAAATGCTTTCTCTTAAAAAATTCTAAAAAGCAAAAATTAAAAAAAAAATAGGAATCAGAGACCGAGACAGAGGTAGAGACAGACAAAGACAGGTACAGAGACAGGAGGATTGGAAGGGGTTTACATACCACAGAGGTTTTGTGTGCTTGAAGCCTAATTATCAGTGGGAAGTTGTGATTTCTGTTCCCCCAGAATGACTAGTTGGCAGAATCCATGTGGCTGTGTCTTGTGAAGGCCTCTTCCCTTTGTCTCTCCTGAGGTAGGAGGGGGAGAGGGAATTATTTTAACAATAACAGGTGGTAGGAGTGCCCAGAAAGTGCAGAAAATGCTTTCCCTTAAAAAATTCTAAAAAGCAAAAATGTAAAAAATAGGAATCAGAGACCGAGACAGAAGTACAGACAAAGTCAGGCACAGAGACAGGACGACTGGAAGGGGCCTTCCTACCACACGAGTTTTGTGTGCTGGAAGCCAAATTATCAGTGGGAAATCTTAATTTCTGTTCCCTCAAAATGGCTAGTTTGCAGAATCCTTGTGGCTGTATCTCCAAGTAGGCCTCTTCCCTTTGCCTCTGCTGGGTTGGGAGAGCGAGTGCAAATTATTTTTACAAAATTAGGTGGTATTAGGTGCCAGAAAGCGGGTAAAATGCTTTCGCTTAAAAAATTCTACAAAGCAAAAACTTTTGAAAAGA